GTTATTAAAAAACTTTCTTCTTATAAATTACCTGCTTATTACGTCTACACTAAAAATGGTAAAATAAAAATTTTAATGGCAAAAAATAAAAACCGACAGCCTACAATATTTTAAGATATGAATATCTAATAGGTAAATATGTATTTTACGTATCCAAATATATTAGATTTGCTTTGCATCGGCTGGCAGCGACTTCGAAAATATCTGATTAGGTATCTATTCTAAATGAAAACCTCCGTTTAGTTAACTTTTACATTTTAGTTCCTGGAAGTCGGTTTTTGTTTTTGTTAAAAAGTTATTAAAATTGTAACTGATCGCTGTCTGTACATGGAAGATATTTGAGATTAACTATTACTAGGGGTCTTTATTAACGCAATAGAACCCAAAACAATGATTTTTAGAATTCTTGTCTGTTTGTCTGTGCGTTTGTGCGCTCTAATCTCAGAAACGGCTTAACCGATTTGGTTGCGGTTTTCACTAATATTCATAAATAAAAAAGATATGTCAAATTAATAATCACTTAGGGATGAACCCGAGCGAAGCGAGAGTGAGTCGCTAGTAGAAAATAAATATAATAGAACAACACTGTATATAAATGCGAATAGTAAACGAGTGCGTGTTTGTTTTAATTCTTTACAACGCACGCTTGACGGTTTTGTTTAAAGTCTAGAATTTAACATACAGGCTTAATAGTTCTTGTACCTATCATATCAGTTAATTTCCAAGCAAAATCTACTGCTTCATGTAAATTTGATTATTTGAACTAGCTTAAATACCTAGAATGCATAACATGACCCGATAATACCGCTCCGAAGGAGATGAAAGCACCAAATTCCGATAAATTCTCTAGATTTTACTCATAAGACTATATCATCTTTCGTGTTGACAATAACCTAAAAATTAAAAAAAAAAATTATTAAGTACAAGAACTCTTTACTGTGACAAATTAGTATCAATCGAAAGTAAAAAACTTGTAGAAAATCCCATCATACGTTTGGCGGCCTTTTTCGAACACATTACCTGACATTAGGTATAAACAGGTAAATTGAAGTTGTTAATTGCTCGTATCGTTTTCCAGAATGAACCAAGTATCAAAATGTAGATAATTTTACAACAAAATGCTATAGGGTTGTCATACCCAAATATCTCCAGATTCAAATTCAAAACTCAGACTAGAGGATTTTTAGTAATAAATAGCCTGGAGCAAATTTTTAATATATTTTATGATTTAAAAAAAAACGTCTGGAAAAAAATATGTTGACGTCCACCACATAGATAGGATCTAAGACTATATACAAAACAGTTCAGTACCATTATAATATAAATATACGGTTTTGTCTTTACTTATCTAATTAAAAAAACTAAATATTTTCAAAATTCTTTTATAACATACACTATACATACACTAAAGCTTGTCAATAGTTACTAAAAAAAAAGAAAATCGGTTGACAAACAAAGGAGAAAAAGGTACTGCACTGTGTTGACTTTACCTATATAATACATTATATAGATAATAATCCCTCCACGACTGCGGACACGCCGGCGTGTCAATTAACAATAGATTTCTTAGAATTTAAATTAATTTCTTAGAAATTTACCTGGAGGTGTTATATACAAATTTATAATATAAATTCACATGTATAACTCATCTAGCATGATGTAATTTTAACCCCCTTATTAAAAAACGTATCGAAAACTTAAGCAAAACAACACTAAAAATTATCAACCATTTCAAATTTCGGTGACAGGAAAACGTATAGTTTCATGCTTTATTATGTTGCATTAAATATTTTAAGCAATTATGCGGGACGCTTGTTTACAATTTATTATGCTAATGAACTCAGCTTTATAGGTGCTGGGTGGTTAAATATTGGACACACGGTCTTTTAGATTGTTAAAATTATTTGTATTCAGCCGTTTTTAACGTCCCATTGCTAAACACGGGCACGAATCTCGCTTCAATACGACGGGGATCAGGCCATAGTCCACTACGCTGACCAAGTGCGGATTAGATGACTTCACATATCTTTAAAAAAAATCTAGGTTGTCTCAGAAAAGCAAGTTTCCTCGTGTTTTCCCTTATCGTAAGATAACTGGTAATCATGTTGGAAATGATTCAAACATGAAAATGTTAGAGGTGCCACCGTGATTTGAACCTACTTCACTCGGTTTCCCAATCTCTAAATGTTGCATAGGTGGTACGCCTTAATATATTTCCTAATATTAAAAATATGAATATGTTTTTAAAATAAACACGGTCTCAGTAGATATAATTATTCTTTTAAATTTATGTCACTATTAAATCGACAGTGTGTCCCGTTTATGACCTGTTTACACGAGCTATCTACTGCGAACACGCAGAGTTACGATGGGAAAGTATGTTATACTGATGCCGTTTAACTGAACCGATGCAAAGGCATTGTGTATTTGGACAAATAAGTAAAACACTTAATTTTGTTATGAAAATAAATTTCAATATAATAAATTCAAAAGTTTGTTGTTAAGAGATGTAAAACCCACAGTGGAATAAAAATTTAGCAATTTTCCTTTCCTGTACTTGTGCTGTAAGAACTTGCTACTTGTCAAATTTCATGATTCTAAGTCGACGTTAAATGCCCTATAGGTTTTGATTTATGTACTTGCGAGCGTACAGTGCTTACGAGTATATGGTCGTAGTTTTATTGCGTTGACTTAGAAAGTGTAATATACGATAGAAGTTTGAATTTTTACACTTCTAAGGGACCGTAAATCATTACTGTTATAATGTATTAGATATTAATTTAATAATAATAAATATGTAATGTAAAGGAAGTTATGGTACATCTATACTAATATTATAAAGAGGTAAAGTTTGTGAGTTTGTGGTGTTGTGAGTGTGGCGTTGTAGGGGGTAATCTCTGGATCTACTGATCTGATTTAGAGGAAATTTGGTAAGAAGATAGTTTTAGGCCTTGGGAAGGACATAGGATATTATTATCCCGGAAATCATCTCTTAAGGGGGTTAAAATGGAGATGAAAGTTTGTATAGGGAATCAAGCTAGGGACGAAGCGAACGAACGAAAGCTAAGTAAAACTGTGTGGATCTATGTTGTGTGGATCGCAATAATAAGAGTAATTCTGATTAATATTTTTTTACACACTAAATAATATTATTAATTAATAAAGTTACACCTCCAGGTAAATTTCTAAGAAATTAATTAAATTTCTAAGAAATCTATTGTTAATTATTAGAATTAAAATTAACAAATATTATAAGGAACTTTGGTGCCATTTTTGAATTTGTGAAAATATTTTTGTAAAGTAGGCACTGTCTCTAACAAGTATATAACGCCTCTAAAAAGTTTAAAACCTTAGACTCTCCCGTGACTATGATTGCTGTAAAGCATTCGAAACGTCGGGAACCAAAAATCAAAATAAATCCACGAAATAATCCGAAAAGATAGTTTTATTTTTATTTAAAAGACTAAACTTGTCAATAGTACTACTAAACCAAAAAAAAATCGGTTGACAAACAGAGGAGAAAAAGGTACTAAACTGTTTTTTCTTTGCCTATTTATATAGAAATATAGAAGACTAGCATTGCCCGCGGCTCCGCCCGCGTTCAGATGACCAAAAACCAAATTCTTAGGTTTTATGTATTAGTATACTCTTACATTGAAGTTTTTGTATTTTTTCTCAGAAATGAGACATATTCTCGCGGTAAAAAGTATCTTATATGTTGATCCGGATAACCAGCTATCACCATACCAAATTTCATCAAAATCCCTCCAGTGGTTTTTCCGTGATGCGGTAACAGACAGACAGACAAAAATTCTAAAAACTATTAATTCGGCCTCTGTATCGATAATAATGTTTATTTCAATCAGATTTTCCAAAAAATATTTAATGTACAGATTCGGCTTAGTTACAATTTTATTATATGTATAGATATTTTATACTCTAGATTTTCAAATAAAACACTCACTTAATAAATATTATACATTTATTATACATTAATTATAATAACAATAACATTAACATATTTTTTTTCTTATATTTTTCCTTCTTTTGTTGTTCTTGTCATTGAAGTAACGAGTTGAAATTGTCATTCCATATTTTCTCGTCGCTCGTTAAATCTTTTCTTAAAATCCTCATCTTTTGTCTTTTCGTAGTATTAATTATACCTTATAATTATTATTAGAAATACGTTAAATACCTTAACGGTATCATTTTCTCTTTATATATCAGTCTAAAACACATAAAAACAAATATTAGTAAAAATATAATAAGTAAATAATTTTCACAATAATTATAATCAAATTTTAAATAACAAATATTTAATGATTAAATAAGTTGGTATTATTATTGTTATAACATTTAATCGTGGTTTACATATGAATAAAAATAGTATATTCACCGTGTTATGTTCTATACTAAATCTAAGACTTTTAAATAGTCTGTGTAAAAGCTGGAATGAATTAGAAAAGTTTTTATCTATTAAATTATAATTATTATTAACTATTTTCAAAAATATGCTTAGAACTATAAGCTAACTCTAACTACCAACTAACATAGACAGCTCGACAGAAAAACCGATTTGATAATGCTTGATATATGTATATAATTTAAACATAACATATTATAGTTATTTTCAAATTAAAATGTCAACCTCGAATATATTAATTAACGCGCTGGTAAGTTTGTATTCATTTTGCATATAAAATGTATAAAACTTAAATTCTTTTATTTCTCGCTTAAATCGAGGTTCTTCAAAAAAAAATTAAGCTATACCTAAATTTCCTTATAAAGTAATCACTATGATCTAATAAAATATATATGATCCACTATAATATATGCAAAAATATACTATAAATGATAAAAAAGATAAGATACCTTATTGCGTCTTAAATACACTTCAAGTCACAGAGACATAGCCATCGACTACGAGTATCTCATGTATTATTTAAACAAAATTCAAACCGAATTTGGCCTCTCTCTTTCAATAACAATCCCTCGAACTACCACAGTGTCATCTTTTTTCTGGCATTTTCCACGACCTTCTGAGGCTCGCCAGATCCAGTCTCTCCTTCGGAATTCTTCTCTTCCATGTCCAAATCGCTCCCAAGGACCAAAGCGTGGTCCAAAGACATTTTTAAAACATCCATTATTGTGTTTGTCATGGCAGTGGCGCTTATGATGACCATGGCCATGTGGCCCATGGTGTTTGTGACCATGTCTTCCATGATGTCCATGGTGGCCATGGTGGCCATGATGCATATAGGGATTAAAATGCCACCGGTGTCCATGATGACCATGTCGTCCATGATGCATGTGTGGTCCATGATGCTCAGATGGTCCGCGACAAGGTGGTGATACTTCTTTCTCACCACATGGACCATCACGACAAGGTCCACGATGAAAATCAACGAATTTTCCACAAAAATTATGACCACGCATTGTTCTATTGTTTTTAATTTTTCGGTTTATGTTGAATGGACGTCCTTTTAGTACAAGAGCCGACCGTCAAGTGTGTCGTGATCAAGTTGATTGGGATTTTATATAACGCTATTACGTAATATTTTGAAAGGTTTCCTGTAATCTAATCATAGTTTAGGAAAATGTGAAATTTTGTATGCGTCATAAATATTAAATTTAAAGAATTACTTATAAATTATGTTTTTCAGAAGTATTTCATCATAAATATCTGTGGTTAATATTAAAATTGATAAAATATGTTCTTTTATATTTTAGGCTAATTCTTACTTGATGAAATTTTGCACATTTACCTTGTAGGTGATTTAAGGACAGCATGAGCCAACTTTTTCCTTAAAAAAAGGTTTTAACAGAAAAAAAAATTAAGAGAGTTTTTCTTGATTTTATGTAAGAATTAAATGATGAATTCGTAGTTCACTGATATTATAAATGACAGAATAAAAAGTATCTGTTTGTTTGTCTTTCATACAGAATTAATAGTTATGTTATATATTGAGTACTTAATTACAAAGAATATTGATAATATGCACCACAAGACCGTATATATTGACCGTATTAATATACTTCATAATCCGTACGTACTGTTGAAATAAATAAAGCCTCAATATATAACCTAATGAAATTATTGTTTTACACTCGAATTACCATCTAGGACGTATCATGTTTCAGAGTAACGAATGCGAATATTTTTTTTATTTATTTAGTATGTCGTTTTTAGGGTTCTATGACCAAAAGACGAAGAAAGAACTCTTATGGTTGCGAAGCGCTGCAAAATGCTTACACCTATTTTATTACCAACTAGCAACTAGTTATGTTTTAACGTTTAGTATAGATTTCTTAGATATGAGATATTTGAGTAAAAAGTATCCTATATTTATAACAAACCAGCTATCATTATACCAAATTTCATCAAAATCTGTCCAGTGGTTTTTTCGTGATGCGTTCCCAGACAAACAGACAGACAGACAAAAATTCTAAAAACTATAGATTTGGCCTCTGTGTCGATAATAATGACTATTTCGATAAGAGTTTCCAAAAAATATATAATGTACACATTCGACTCAGTCAGAATTTTATTATATGTATAGATACAGATAATAAAAATGAAGGCAAATTGTGATGATAACAATATTTTCTTATCACACAATACAAGTACCATTTGATGTCAATAACAGATCTATCAACCATAGCTGATGTCACATTTTGTTGTAAACAATGGTGATGCCTTTCGCAATTTTTTACTCTCTATGAGTACTTCTCAGTTTTTATTTATTTATTATAAATAAAAGATATCTAGATAAAAAAATATTAGTAAAAATATAATATTTAGTCGAAACAGATTCGGAAAAAAATACTTGGACCAAATATAGGCGAAAAAATATGTATTTTTAATACGAATCTGATATACACACAATATGATTTTTTTTTATTTATGTTAATTTTCATACGATTTCTATATATTAACTTCAAGAAATATTTTTAATAAAAATGTTTCGGGTTTACTTATTAAAAGATGTGATAATTTATAAATGTAATGACGAGTTTATTAATGTTACTTATAAATAAATAAATATATTATACGTACAATTTTATATGACTAGATTAACTAAATACTGGAATTACCTACTTTGATTACGAGTAGATAATAATTATCTATACAGATATTTGAAGTTTCTGTTTGTAATGTTTAAATAACAGCTTTTTAATAAATACATATGAAATTAATTATGTAGGTTACTTATAAGAAAAATACAATTTTGAAATTTTTTGTCTGTTTATGACGATCCTTGTATTATAATTTACATAGATAATAGATATTTGATTCTGTCATTATTATAATTTCATAGGAAAAGTGTATTTATTTATTTAATACTAGCGGCTCACCTTTGCTTCGCTCGGGTTCACCTCTAGGAAAACAAAGACAACCCTATCCCACGGGAACCGTTAATATTTCCGGGATAAAACGTAGCCTATGTGTTATTCCAGACTATAATCTATCTCTATGCCAAATTTCATCCAGATCCGTTCAGCCGTTCTGGCGTGAAAGAGTAACAAACATCCATAAATACTTACTCACAAACTTTTATATTTATAATATTAATAATACGGTTTAAAATGAATTTTATAATATGTATGGTAAATTTTTTGTTTTATTTCAAAATATGATGAAATGATTTCAAAATGTTGTGCAATACGATGAGTCATATTTCTATTTCACAACATTTTGCAATACAATGAGTCATACTGCTATTTCACAATATTTCACAATCTCATTCAACAGTTTGTCAGTTTGTTTGTAGAAATTGAAATACTGTCGATTTTTTATATAAAAAAGTAGTTGAATATTATAAATGTGAAAATGTGTTTGTTTGTTCGTCCTTCTTTCGCGTCGAAACGGATTGACGGATTGGTGTGATTTTTTGTGTGGAAATACTTGAAGGGCTGGAGAGTGATATAGGCTACTTTTTACCGCGGGTGATCATCTTATTTCCACCGGAAAACACATTATAATACAACCCAAAAAGTTATTTATGATCAGAATTACTTGAAACTTGGTACTAATGTTCTGCGATACAATTAAATAACACGTATTTTAAGCATTTTTCGATATTCATCCCTTAAGAGAGAAAAATAGATGAGTTTTAGCGCGAGCAAAACCGCGGTTATGCTAGTAATTATATGTATCAGAAGGGTTTTTTTTAACTTTTATGCTTGTTTGTGTGCGCATAGTACAAAAAAGCGTACAAAGCTTTGAATTGGACTTTACCATATTTTGCCTGAAAAAAAGTGCTTAAGTTTTATTTTAACTAGTTAAGTAAAACCGATATTTAAATCAATCATTGGTATTCTGGGACTATTCATTAATTATTCATTGATAACAGAAAAGAAATATACAAGTGAAGCTTCAGGCAGACGCTAGTATACAAGAAGCATAGAAAATTACCGTTTTCCGGCAATTTTAAGTACTTATACACACATTAGTCCGTTGAATAGCGAGTACTAACGCAGTATTTTGAGCAACATTTTAGTCCCAATATATGTAAAGTGACAATTCAAATATTTCAATCATTAAATCAAATATTAGTTTTCAAAAGATATGTGAAGTCCGCCAACCCGCACTTGGCCAGCGTGGTGGACTTCGGCCTGATCCCCCTCGTATTGAAGGGAGGCCTGTGCCTAGCAGTGGGACTTTAAAAAGGGCTGAATATTTCTATTAAACTCAATGAAAAATTAGTAATATAATTTTGTTTTATAAAGAATGTCTGTCTAATGGTGCTTTCATTGGGTTGATCCAATATTAACTATACAATGTTTGTGGGTTTTAACACTTTTAAACTGCCTTGTTATAGCGTCCTATTATAATTGTATTGTCTTGTTGTATCACATTTGTTACTAGAGAAAATTTAAGACGAGATCTTGTGGCAAATAATATCAAACTGTTCCATAGTCGCTAATCCATGGGGTTTACCCCAAATTACAAAAGCTAAATCATATGGGAAACTAAATTTTAACCGACTTGTAAAAAATCCATGTTTTCAGCGGTAAAATAAAATTTAAAAATACAATAAATATGTAGTATTTTTTTATTATACAATAATACGAGTATAAATTTGTTGTAATGATTCTTAGTAGATGTACTCATAATGTGAATTAGGATTGCAGTAAGAAATAAAAAAAATAAAAAATTGTCTTTCCCGTACCGGGAATCGAACCCGAGCCTCCTGGGTGAAAGCCAGGTATCCTAGCCACTAGACCATACGGGAGATACGTGCTAAGTTCAAATAATTATATATTATACACCTATACTTTTAACATATAAATATTTATATTTTGTTAAGAATTCATTATCATTGCTGTTGACCTCAAAAGTCGTAAGCACATTGTAATTTTACGAGCAAATGATGACGTTATTCAAATTAGTTTTTATGTAGTGTGAAATTAACTAGACGTGTATGAATGAAGCTTTTTGACTGACTTCGAAAATGAGGAGGTGCTCAATTCTGTTTTGTTTGTTTGTATGTTATACGATACCTTCACCAATAGAGAACTGAGTTTTATAATTTTTTAACGAAAAATTTATTTATCTTAATTAAAATCCACTCTGAAAGGTGAAATTGCTTTTCGTCAGTCAAGTCATTCAGATATATTCAGAACTAACGAGTCACCCTCACTCCGCTCGAGTTCGTCTCTAGGTACGTTTTAGCGGTTAGTGTACCTAGATTTCTCAGATATGAGATATTTTCGCGCACTAAAAAGTATCCTAAATGTTGATCCGGATAACAACTTATCATCATACCTACCTTATCAAAATCCTTCCAGTGATTTCTTGTGATGCCTTCCCAGATAAACAAAAATTGTAAAAACTATAGATTAGGCCTCTTTATCGATAATAATGACTATTTTAATAAGATTTTCCAAAAAATATTTAATGTACAGATTTGACTCAGAATTTTATTATATGTATAGATTAAAATCATTTTCAGAATAGTTATATAATAGATTAATTTTGGGTTATTAAAACGGAGGCTATTTTGAAGGAAAAATCCATAAAAAGCTGTAGATCAATACTCATACACTAATTCAAAAACTTTACTATTTATAATATTAGTATGATTTAAACTAGACGCTTTAAGTAACTCCTTAAACAACATGTACACTTTAAACAGCATGAGTTACATATTTCTTGGGAAAAATCTGAAAAAAAATCTTTTAAATTGGACTCTATGGTATTAAAAATAGAGTGTATATTAAATTAAAGTAAATTTGATAGATTATAACGACGTCACGTCACGTATTTCCTTCAGAACGCTAGAAATCACCGGAGTAGACGTAAGAGTGACCATATTTGAAGATAATCATTTTACAGGAAAATTTAGATGGGATCAAGTTTTCTATCGTGAAATTT